TATATATATATATATAAAGAACCGTGTTCACATATTAATAAATTTTCTAACGAGGAATAACTCGAATGGAATTTCTCCTTCAAAATTAATCGATTTGTGATGACCCAACAGTACATGATTTTTGATTACAGACTTTATATTTATTCGACCAAGGAAGTTGAGATTTTTAACATTGAAGATGCGCGCGATTAAGTATGAAAAGTAAGTATGAAAAGTCAAAGCCATGAATATGACCTCAACGAGATCCTTAGACCGGAGGATGCTAATGTATTATTTTATATAATGTATTATTTTAATATGTCAATAGACTTGGGTATTTCAGGATAATCTTCACAAAAAAAATCAAAAATAAACTTCTTGATTTTTTTGTTAGACTATTGTGACAACCGATAGAAAGAGATGCGAAGACAAAAGGAACATATGTAAGAAAATAAATATAACATAAGAAATTATAAATATAAATAATATAAGTATAAATAAAAAAAGTAATACAAAATAGGTCATATATTATTTATAAATATTTAATTTGTAGTTATACTCATGTTTTGACTAATATAATGAAAATTAGAAAGATATTTCAAAATTTGTACTTTTTAAATCTTTCTTTATATGCGCAATTATATGTTGAATAGGTAATCATAACAAAATTCTTGCATTAGTCATGATATGATACATCATTCATGAAAAATTAATTAATTTCGATGCCTCTATTAATGTTTTATAGACGTTTTGAAGCTTGTTCAGAGTAATTCATCTAAGAGATGATGCATCGTTTTTCTTTCCGAATAAAGATACACACTTAAATGAAAGAGGGACTCTTCCGTATTATAAATTATATTTTTCTGTACACATATTTAAAAATTTCTTATTTTTATTTTAAAGATAATTTTATATATAACTACAATACTATTATTATCATATTAGAATTAGTTTTAGATTTCAGTTATCGTTATAAGTTATAAAACGTTACTTGTTTTCTATGTTAATAGAACACGCGCAAATTTTTTCGCGAACTTGCAATATAAATTAATATTTTGTAAGAGCTTATTAATTGATTAGTTAATTTTTTTTTAAAATTGATAGATATATATGTATGATGCATTTATATAGGATAATTACAATAATAATTACATACAAGATATAACTATAGGAGATAATTGTTATATAGCTAACCGCACAATTGATATTATCTTCATGCGTAAAACGCATATACATACATTAGTCATGTGGAATAATCTTTGTACGAGACATACTTTCGGATAAGCTATACTTAATGGTAATATAATGCGATTACTAGAAACAGTTAGTATGATCTTGAATTGTTGCAAACTGAAGATTATTTCTCGATAAAGTAATATATATTCTTATTATATAAGGAATATTCACTAGTACTTATATTTTCAACGATATGAAGGCACAACTCTGAAGGTATAACTTAGAATTTGTCGCCGTATACAGTTTCTTTTGATAATTTATTACAGATAGAAGATATTTTATTACATTAATTGAGCAATGGATATTAATAATTAATAAGTAATGTGTCTTTCCTTGTAAATATAAATTTTTATTACAATTTAATTTATTACAATTTAAGATTTTCATAAATCTTTAAGTTTTTGCATCTTAAACAACAAGATTTTGCATCTTATAGCAAAAATAATAATCTATAATATATTATAATGTCCTTCAACGTTTAGAAATAAAAAATCTTACTACTACAATTATTTTTCGGTATATATACACAAGTTAATAAGGTGATACTTCGCAAATGCAATTAATACAATCGATGATGTAATCTGGAGATGGCTGTAGTTTGTCTCCAATTTGCAATAGCAAATTACCAAATATGCACATATCTGAAAAAAGGAATATCAAATAAATAATCCTATTTTTTTTTAATCATATTTAAATATATTTTTTAGAATATGATAAATATTAATAGTACGGTCAATTATTTTATATAGCACATTCTTGTATTCAGTAAATTGGATGCGCAATGAAATGAGTTGTATTTTGTAATTAGTTATTTTATCATAATAATTGACGTATTACAGAAATTGATTTTGCATAGTTACTTCCTATTTGACGCGATTCAATACGGTTGTGTAATTAGTATCATATTTAATTAGTATCTGACCGTTCAAATATGTGCCAATATCTTATTTTATATATCTTACATATTTATATGATTACCAAATCTATCGTGAAATATAAATTTTTTTCTTAATATTGCGATCCATAAAATTAATGAAATATTAATAATTAATAAATTTAAACATATTAACAAGACAAAAAATTAACTTCTTCAGCTTTATTAAAGTACTCTAGTATTAATTTTATTTTTCATACTATATAATGCTCCAATTTTCTAAGCACTTTAGAATTCGAATTGAATTGAAACGATTCGAGTGATTACTTTTTGAAAGAATGTGATGTAAAATAATAAAGAAAATATTGTATTAACATTTTAAAAGAATAATTAAAATGTATATAACAAATTGTACACTTCTATCATGCGAATGTATATATATTCTAAATTTCTTAACAAATATAATAGAAATATTTTTTTTATCAACGTAATATTCCGCAAATGCATATAGAATATTATAAAATAAATTTACATTTAAAAATAAATATGAAACATACTAGTATAATTGTCATCCATTATAAAAGGTAGTCGTCTAGGAATGACAATGTCATCAGGAGCCTCTAAAAAATTCAACAAAAGTTATGAGAATAACGATGAAATGTGTACATCATTCAAATTATAAATTTACGACATAACATCGTCATATAACACGTGTTTTTTTCTGCGTAATCATTGAAAACTGGAGCACAATTTCGACGAAAATAATCATCGTGACTGAATGCAGGGTGAAGACATGGGGAACAATTAGGTTTGATACAGAAAGGTGGAACAGTTTCACCTAAAATTAGAAAATTCCCAATTCTAATAGGTATTATGTATATTACATCTTTGAATTATATAATTTAGAATTATATAATTTAACTGTTCAGTGTCACTTTTTACCATTATTTATTTATTACATAAGTATGAAAATATCGCGTAAAAATGAACACATAACAAAACATATATTTTTTTCAATCGAAATATCAAATATTAAGAATAACAAACAAATATATTTTTATTAATAAGAAGATTTCAGTATGAAGTAAAACAATCTCTATAGAGACAATGGCACCGAAATGTTAAAAACAATGTAAATTTATTATATGATAATAATTAATATTACCTTTGTACCCTGGTTGGCAGGTGCAAATCAAATCAGATTCTTCATCCACTTTGAAAGATTCATCATCAAGGTATATATGACCATTTACATTACAAACAGGTATCTCTTCCATTCTTGCAGCTAAAACATTTAAGAAGCATTACTTATACTTTATGATTATACATTCTATAATTTTATTTAATTCATGTGTGTATTTATATGTCTGACCTATATGTCTGAAGTAACTAACTTGAATCAAATTTTTATAACAATAATAAATGTATAATTGTGTTATAAGTTTATTATATACGATGAATACAAAAAGTGTTCGTACAGAGAAAATATTTTTTTAAAAATTTTTATTTTTTAAAATTAAATATTATCCAGCGAGAAATGAATCATTGAATTGATATCGATAAGATGATTTCAACATCAATTTAATGTCGATTCGACATTTAATTGATGATCATTTCTTGCTGGGTAATTAACAATTTATTCATAAAATATAAAATAGACTGTACGTTTCTTAAAATTATATATATTAAAAAGATGTGTATTAATTATAGAAAATATATCATCTGAAAAGTAAGCGAAAATTAAAAATTCTATTGTTTAGATGCTCAAAAAGTATTCGTACAGTCGAGAAATTTAGCTTATAATATCAGAAATATATATGCAAAGCTCATTTATGTATGTTAGAACAGAATGTATTCATTGTATAAAATTGCTAATTAATGTTTATTTTCTATAAATAAAACTTTTATAAAAAATTTCCTTGTAATACCGAATACTTTTGCTTTCACTGTATATTATATATACTTTCTTGAATTTTAATGAAAATAATTTTCATATTATAATATTAGGTATGGGAAAAAGTTTGTGACGTTTTTTTAATCTAATGGGAAAAATGCCACGAATTTTTTCCCACACCTAATAATTACCCATCAAGTGTTGTGAATATATAGAATACATAATATAGTACATACATAAGTATATACATGTATATGCTTTTTAATTAAGAATGTACTTACGACAAATTTGTTTCGGATTTTTGCAATATATTGAGTTTTGTCGTAAATAGCAACCATCTTTTACCTCTATTTCCGTATATTAGGAATATACCGAATAGTTTAAACACTGAAACGCAGCACTATATGGAAAAATTGGAGTTTAATCAAAAGATTTCAATGATCTTTATATTTTTTATAAATTAGCTGTAATTGATTAAATATTTAATATTTTTACGTGAGATTAAATACATTTTTTTTATATCAAATACGTTTTTTTTTATAAACTTTGCATTGTAAAATGATGGTTTACAGATGAAAAATTTAGATATTCTGCAATGTAAATAAGTGATGTGTAATTGATCGATAATTAAAAATCCGTCAAAGAACAAATAAAGACAAATTAAATATGAAATGCGTAATATGATAACAAGTAATTTTAATTAAATAACATCATCTCGTTTGAAATATGAAAGCATAGCAATACTTTTTCAAAAAATTATTATTAATAAGTTATTTATATAAAGATTTTACAAAAATATATATAATTGTATAATGTGTTGCAAAATATAAATGTTCTCTAAATATAAAATTTAGCTTTTTTATGGCAATAAATTTTAAACCGTGATATATGTGCATGTGTGTGTATTGTTATTATTTTCTTTAGCTATTTTATCTTCATATAATTTATTCATAATATATGGACTAATTTTGCTAGATTTTATATATATATATATATACACACACACACACACACACACACACACACATACACACTATTAATTATTAAAAATAATCCATCTGTTTTACGGTGAAATAATTTTATTTATTTATTTAGATATCATACTTACATTTGATTCTGGACCAATAAGACTCTGCAAATACATGAGGTATCGCAAAAGTTTGAATCTATAGGGTTAAGAAGTTGGTTGGAATTATATATATGACCGTTAATATAACACTTGTTCCTGGATCTTTGTTTGATATGGTTACAGTTGAAACTTTTCGGGCAATTGTCCTCCTTGTTGTCATATATTGGCGTGCATCCGAGATCTTTGTAATACGTTAATGGACCCGGGCATTCAAATATGTCTTTACGAAAAAGAAAACATCAAAAAGTTTTAACAATTATAAACAAGTGAAATTAATTCGAATCACGTAGGTTTTCTAATTTTTCTATTACTAATTTTCTATTACTGACTATTATCAGTCAACGTAATATTTGGCTAATTTCATATGGAAGTACGTATATTATGTTCTAAAAGTAGTTAAAACATAATTACTTAAATGATAGAAAATGAGATATTGATTTTTCTTTACGATTTATTTCGATTAGCTACGACAATAGCGGCGACGAATGCCACGAAGACGCACAATTGAACACAAATACATATGCTTTCCATGATCAAACACGCGCAAATATGTTATAGACTGCGCATTACATTACTTATACTGTTGTGACTACTGATTCGAGAAGGGATGCAAAGTTATGAAGGAACATACGTGAAAAGTATTTAATAAATATAAGAAAAGAATCTAAATAAAAAGAATAATATAGAAGAATAAGCGTTGTATACATAAATCTACATAAATTTAATGTTGTAATTTATATGTTTCGACCGGTACAAAGAACAGTGAAAGATATCTTTGTTTTTAAAATCTGTATTTTTAAAATTTTTCATTAAACGCAATTGCGTGTTAAATATTTAGTGTAAAAATAAATAAATAAAATTCTTATATTATTATATTGCGTCGTTCATAAAAAATTAAGAATTATCTTGAGGTTTCCACGAATGCTTTCTATAAAGATTATATGTTTCGCGAATTTTCTCCGTGTTCACCAGATTCATTCTTGGAATGTCAATGTTTCGTGAACCTTGCAGATTAAATTAAGAATTAATTGATATACTTCGGTATAGACATAAAAAAATTAATATCCTTTGTGCGTGTCTCAAGTCTGAGGCGTAACCGTATTGGAAGTATAACGCTCGTCGCTTGAATATGAGAGGGGTGGGGGTGACCGCGCGGCGCTCGGTGGTGACTCGGCGCTTGCTTCAGTCAGTTCGTTCGCGACCTTCACGTCGGTAGTGTCGGAGCGTCGTTAGTGCGTCTTTCCCTTCTTTCTCACACGCGGCTAGTTTCTCGTTTCAGAAATTTTAGAGTAATCTCTCTCTTTCACTCTCTCTATCAAAAGTGTGGCGCCCATTCCCGCAGACGGATGTTCCCGTGGACGAAAAGAAAGTAAGACATTAAATTTCTATTTCATGCACGTCGTACGTGCGAGATCGCCAACCACCGTGATGGCCATGTCGCGTGGTGCGGTGGTGATTTCTTTCCGTCTATTTCTATCGTCATCTACACTCGGAGGAGCAGAGTGAATGCGCGCCGGTAAAAGATTTCTCGTCTGCGAGAGCAACAAGTGAGCGAGAAAATATCTATCGAACTTATCGGTCCTGCGCGTCGGCCGCGAATTCAAAGCGCGGAGCAGTGAATCGCACTCGTGGCTAAATTCACGTGATTCGAGTTTTCGCTTTCGCGGAAGCGTTCGCGTCGTATTCGTCATTTCGGAATATCGCGCGGGGAAAATTCGCGAGTGTGTGACATCGAAAATCAAAAATCTGATGTTGATGTCAATGGATTAACGTGATTTAACGTGCGCCGACGGCGAAGACGTTGTCCAATGGAGACGAGATAATGTCAAATAACGTAGCGATGATCGTTCCGGAAATCTCGTCGTGTAGAGAAAGCGAAAGTCGTCGATGTGTTCCGGTATGATCGAGTGGCGTTCAGAAATTCGCGATAATTGTCGACGAATTAGCGAAACAGAAACGCGACGACGCGGTGTGGATAAGTTGCTGATTTTCGCGCGCGATCTATCACGAGGCGATCAACATGGCGATACGACGATGCGACGCGAATCGATGATTGACGAGAGCCGGAGCGGAGTGAGACAATAATTTTTCATTCATCGTTTTTCTTTTTTATTCTCTTTTTTCCGTTTTTTCCGACGATTTACGGACTATGTAAGTGCCTCCTGTCAATGATCGCCTTTGTTCGGTGGTGTCAAGGAATTATAGAAATCCTCGTGGACCATGGCCACTGCCACGAAGAAGGGACATGCTAGCAACGTCACGTTACGCCTCCTTGTTGTTGTCTTCTCGTTGTTCCTGAACGACCCGACAGCCGTCCAAGCGCGTGGATTTAGACATAGTCTTAAGCAAGGTAAGTACCTGCTATTTGCTATGTTAAAAAAATTTACTAAATATTTTAATAAATATTTAATTGAATAATAAATATTTACTAAATGTAAATATATATTTATTTGGTACAAGAACCATTAATTTGAATTAAAAATCGTTTTATTTATTATATAAGTAAAGTAAAATGTTTTATTAGTATTATTTAAACAAATATTAAAATTCAAATACTTAAAATTCAAAAAAACAAATATTAAAAGTAATTTTTTAAATTATATATTTATTGCTTTTAGTTTATCTAAGACAATTTGGTATTTTTGAATCATATTTGGCGTTGAATAATTTTATTGAATAAAAATAGAAAAATATATATTTTAATTTCATATGTTTTAACGAGAGAATTTTTCATGTTTTGATTTTTTTATTATAAATTTTAGTTGACTTTTTTCAATTAAAATTGTGAGACGCAAATGTCTTGAAAGAAACTTTAGAGAATTATGAAATAATCATAATTTAGAGAATTGTTTATTTTATAATTATTTCTAAAATTTTATCATTAATTTATTTATTGCATTACGAATAAAAGTTTTTTAAAGAAATAATTTAAAAAAACATTGACCCCAAGCAGTTTTAGATGCGATAAATGTTATTAAAAAGAAATAATAGAATTTTAACATCTTGTTAAATATATTCAAAAGTAATCAAACTTTTATATTGATACAATACAATCAAAATCAAATGTTGATTGTTGCATATAATAATTGGAGATTATTAAATTTCAAATAATATCTATATTTTTATTGAAGTTGTAACATTTTATTTGTTCTACTTGCAATATGTTTAAAATAGAATTTCGTTCTATTTATATAACATTTTAGTCTATGAAAAATTGAGACATTCTAAATATTACAAATTATTTTATTTTTTTGAAGATGTATTATACATGTTTTCTTTGATTGTATTCGATAGAAAAATCAGCTTTGTAATTGTTATTAGTTTCTTGTTATGTTTCTTAATATGATTGGTTTATAACTTTATACAGATCCAGTGATGAACTAAAGGTAACCAAAGAATTTTATAATTGCAAAGCTAATTGTTCTGCTAAGCACACAGCCGGTTTATATTTTCATTCTGATTCATTTTATTCAACTATTTCGATATTTTATTCAACTTTTATGACATATTTCGTACGATGAGATCTTTATTTCCATTTATACATGTATGCCTTTTAAATGCAAATTACGATATCATTGCCATGCGGTTACTGACGTTATGGCGTTCGGATTTGCATAAGACGTAAATATTACGCATACGCATAGAATATGACCATAACATATTGAATGTTATTCAAATCGGTGCAATAACAAAACGCCTCGAGTTTGTCGCGATTGAATTTTAGTGGGAGCAAACTGCCTGTTTTTAAGAAAATCAATGCTGTTTTATGCACTATAATATATTAACATACATTTATTTTGTATATCATATTTATGCACATAATTTTTTTAACACTAATACAATTACCAATTCTTTACATAAATCATACTAAATATTCACAAATTATTTAAAACCTTCAGCTTCAGTCAACCGTAATTGTATCGGAGATATTAGCGGTTAAAGTTGAAAGCATTGAATAATTTATTAATAATATATGACTATAATTAATATATGTAATCGGTTGATTGAAGGTTTTAAATAATGAATAATATTTAGCTATGATTTATATTAACAATTATATATTTCATGAAAAAATGCATAAGTAATTATTTCTAACTGATAACGTCCATCCTTACACTTAATAATATTATAAAAATACCAACGTTCTCATATGTAAAGAACCAAGCAAATGAATTACTATAAAAATAAAAAACGTGATGAAAATCCAAATATATCATAAAGGACATAATTATTAAAAAGTTAATAAAAATTTTAGAATCTTATCTTTCACAAAAATATTAATCTAAAAAAATAGAAACGATCAATAACTGCCCAGTATTTCTACACAGAAAAAAATTTCTTGTTAAAAATGAATGAACAAAAGATTCTGATCGTATCTATATCAATCACAATTCCAATTAATTTAATTAAAATTAATGATAGATTCAACTAGAAAATTTTGATTTTTAATCAGAATTCTAATTAATGCAATCAGACTCTTTTTCTAGTATAGTGTTAAATGTTCAATCGCTATCTCACAAATTATTTCCTAACGTCTGGGCCGGCACGGAAGTTAATTAACCGATATAACATTAAATCTTGCACCGGATTATCTTGCACTTTCGAGACACGATCCATGTGTATAACGATGCCCACGCGATGTTGCACCACGTATCCTCTGATATTTTTCCGAAATTAAATCTCTCGCATTGCGTGGCGCCTCTTGTGGTTTTCTCCCGCGATAACATGTAATCTCGTTTCTTAAATTTTGGCTGGTTTCCGGCATGACGAGGCAAAAACCACACAGTCCCGGACGTGATGCGTGTGCGGTCTTTTAAAATATTGCCGAAAATTCCGACCGAATCTCGCGCGACCTCGTAAAACGTGTGTCTGGTCCGAGAATATTAAGCATCAGGACATTCCTCAACCTCCTTCTCCTCCTCTTTGGGGGTCTCTTTGCTTTATATTTAGCAACACGACGACGGTCGCCTCGAATCTCCGTAGGGCGCATCGCGAGTGCGAACGCACCCTTTTACCTCGTTACTCCAGGGCGATCAAAGGCAGTTCTCTCTCAGGGATATCGATTCTTTCATATCGGCGATATCGCGTGTAACGTGCGCACTCGAACGATGAGTAACAAAAATGCCGAGAGATAGGAGAAACGCATGGAGAGAAAAAGCGCGAAGAGGGTAAAGCGTTTCCGGCCGGTGTAATTTAATGCAATTTATGAGCGGCTGGACTTTTCCGCGGAGGATTTATTGTAGACGCTTATAAATAAATAAATCGTATCGGATAAATCAGATCGACAGGTATGCCGATTAATTAATATCTGTTTGAAAGCATTAGTTAATGGCAATTTAATATTTTAAAAGGTTTTTTGATATTTTGTTAGTTTTAAAGAAAGCTTTTAAAGTATCAAAATATGATATTCTTCTCTAAAAATTATTAGAAAAAAATATGCCCCATTTTTGAAAATAATTTCAGTATTTTCAATTATTTAAACAAATTTGGTATTATATTATAGATATATAATATAATACCAAATCGAGATT